AAAAAAAAAAAAAAAAAAAAATTTGGTATAGGGTACATAGAGCTGGGGCAGGAGAGTTTACCAGCCCACTACAGATCCACCCTGACTCTGACCTGATCTCTGAGGTCAGCTTCCATCTGGAAGAGGACTCTGATATGGCCTGGCCTAGCCAAACACTACAGATTGATGTAGTACCGTTGGTTTTAGCCTAAGAATACAGGCAGGGAGACCCCAGGCCCTGCATTTTAACTGACCAGCGAGTTCCTCAAATGCCACCACTGCAGACCCCCCTTCCTCTAGCTCTTGGGCCTGAGCTCACCACATGGCTCAAGGTCATGACCCTGAGGAGAGTCTCACTGCAGCTCTTCACCAGGCCTTCTGGGAAGCAGGGCAGCAGGTCCTTCAGCAGCGTCAGCATGTGCAGCGTGGTGGTGGCCTCCTTGGAGCCTGATAGACAGAAGTGGAATTGAGACACCAGCCCCCGCCCTGCAGCAGGCCCTGTCCTGCTCTGCCAGCCACTGCCTCCCATCCACCTGCCCTCCGTTGGCTTCCCCACCTCCAGACTTCTCAATCTCCTGGATGCAGAACTTGGCAGTGGAAACCGCAGCAGGATGATGGGCAGGGGCCTTTTCGCCAAACATGAATTCACTGCCCTTGAGGACTGAGCATACTCCATGCTGGGCAGCCTTCCGGATCTGAGGGGCAAGGAGAGCAGGGGACAAGGCCAAATCAGCATTCCACCAGCATCATGGGTGTCTGGCACAAGCACCAACCAATTAGCTTTGGCTGAACATATAGATCCAATGATGATCTAACTACTACAGATCCAGTGCTATGCCAGGGCCTTCATGTGTACAGAATCCTGAGCTGTGAAGCAAGACAAACCTTGGTTCAAATCCCTGCACTACAACTAACTCACCAAATGGCCTTAAGCAAGCCCAACTACCTAATTTCTGAGTTTCAGTATCATCTTTAAAACAGGGGGTTCTTCATTCACTCAATCATCCGGCAAACACGGTGTGTCCACCAAGCCAGGCGCTCTTCTAGGTCCTGGCAAACTGGCAGTGAATAGCAGGCAACGCACCTTCCAGCTGGGAGGCGGAAAACAAATACATAGCAGAAGGTTAAAAAGTACTTTGCAGACAATCAGGCAGGGGCTGCCACTTCTTATACAGTGGTCAGGAAAGTGTCACCACAGTGAAGTGCCACTGCAGCGAGAGCTGAAGAAGGTGAGGAAAAGATCATGTGAGCACTGAGGGAAGGAGGCATGAGAGCACCTGGGCTGATGGTGCTCAGCACTGGGAGTGATTACATGACTGTTATTGTTACCACCTTCTGCCCTAAATTTCCAGAAGAAACAGTGGGGAACCACCACTTCCCAAGCACCTGCTGTAAGCCAGGAGATGCACCAGGCCTGTGGGGAACACTGGAGTCTCCCCACAACTCTGTAGCAAAGCTGGTGTGATTATCTCTATTTCTTTTTTTTTTTCTTTTGAGATGGAGTCTCATTCTGTTGCCCAGGCTGGAGTGCAGTGGTGCAATCTTGGCTCACTGCAACCTCTGCCTCCTGGGTTCAAGCGATTCTCCTGCCTCAGCCTCC